AAAAAAAAAAAAAAAAAAATACAATCTACAATCAGGTCAACAGACAGGGTGGCAGGTAAGGATCCAAGGGCTCCTGGAAGACTCTCCACTGCCCACAAGCTGGGGACCTCTCTCCGCTACATCTAGATGATGTCCAAGAAGTGGTCCACATTTGCCAGCCCTTTCTTGGGTTCTTATAGGCATTTGGTGTGCCTTCCAACAGACTTCATCTTTCTAAGTAACGTGAGAACGCCCACTTACTGGAACCCTACCAAGCGAGCTTTGGAGTATTACTTAAATTTAGTATTTGAAGGCCGGGTGTGGTGACTAACACCTGTAATTCTAGCACTTTGGTAGGCCAAGGCAGGGGGATCACGAGGTCAGGAGATCAAGACCATCCTGGCCAACATGGTGAAACCCTGTTTCTACTAAAAATACAAAAATTAGCCAGGCATGGTAGTGCATGCCTGTAGTCCCAGCTACTTGGGAGGCTGAGGCAGAAGAATGGCTTGAACCTGGGAGGCAGAGACTGCAGTGAGCCAAGATGGCGCCACTGCACTCCAGCCTGGGCAACAGAGCAAGACTTGGCTCATGCCTGTAATCCCAGCACTCTGGGAGGCCAAGGCAGGTGGATCATGAGGTCAGGAGATTGAGACCATCCTGGCTAACACGCGGTGAAACCCCATCTCTACTAAAAAAAAAACGAAAAAATTAGCTGGGTGTGGTGGTGGGTGCCTGTAGTCCCAGCTACCCAGGAGGCTGAGGCAGGAGAATGGTATGGACCTGAGAAGCAAAGCATGCAGTGAGCCGAGATCACACCACTGCACTCCAGCCTGGGCGACAGAGCAAGACTCCGCCTCAAAAAAAAAATTTAGTTATTTGGAAACAAAAATTAGCCTATGATTAGAATTTACCAAGGAGATAATTCAGTAGCTTATGGAAGACTGGCTACTACTCACATCTTGGCTACAGAGCAAGACACCTACATGGAATATATGAGCAAGAATTTTGGCCATTAGGCTGGGCGCGGTGGCTCAAGCCTGTAATCCCAGCACTTTGGGAGGCCGAGACGGGCGGATCACGAGGTCAGGAGATCAAGACCATCCTGGCTAACA